AGAAGTAAAACTATCTCTATCCACAGATGTCATGATCTAGTATATAGAAAATCCCCAGGAATCCACAAGCATTGAATTGTATTTTCCAGTTTATCCTTGCTTGTTGTGATTTTTACTTTTTTAAACTACTCAACAACATGAACAGTTTCTGTGTGTCATGGCATTTGTCCTAGAAATTTGAAAGATTATTTAGATGTAAACACTCAAAGATTCCTGAACCAGGTGAGAGGGGCCTTTAAAAACTAGCTACTGCATCCCAGTCTGGGCAAGAGAGTGAGACTCCAACTCAAAAAAAAAAAAAAAACTAGCTTACACATCAGATAGACAGCTGCTGGGAGTCAGAGCATTTAGGTTTTTTGGGGTCCTTACAAAGTCAAGTACAATGCTGAAAAAAATCTGAAAATAGTAGCCGAGGCCTTACCTACTGACTGTAAGGCTCAATTGACTTTTGTTCTATTATAAACAGAGCAGCAAAAATCTTTTAAAACTTAATTTGAAGAAAAAGTTGTGGCATTCACCAATAAACTGTCCTCCTGCTCAGGCTCTCAGATGAACTAGCTTTCTCCCCTTTAACTTTACCCTGTCTAACCTAAAATCTCTCTCTCTCTCTCTCTCTCTCTCTCTCTCTCTCTCTCTCTCTCTCTCACACACACACACACACACACACACACACACACACACACACAATCCATCAGTCAATCATGCATAGTCTCCATCCTCAAAATGTCTCTGCTGAATAATCTTGGTAGTGCCAAATTACAGGCTCGTCACTTTTCCTCCTTCCTGTTTCATTTACAGGTCTTAGGAGAGCTGCAGGGAGCCATGCATGCTGCCCCATCGACCAGTGCTTGAGTCCTGTCAGCCTGCCTGTGGCTCCTTAGGCAAAGGAGCTCCCTCCGCACAGCACACTGCCTTGAGGATAAGGACTGCTGCCATTCCCAGGCTCAGAATTCAGTCCCTTGCCAGCAAAAATGCACCAAACATAAGAACTCAAGTAGATCCTCTTCAATATGTATGTTGGCAACTGACAAAAATGAGACTAAAGCTGAATCTCCTAGGAAATCACAACACATGTTAATCTATGTTACCAAGATGAGTAAATGCCATCTTCCTCAACCACAAGGCAAAATGACTGAACACCCTTCATTATGTTTGTTATGTACTTCTCACATGTAATAGCCAAGTCCTCTGGCTGATAACTGAAGTTAGAGAGTTAAATAAGTACACCTGTTGGTTCAGAAGTTATTAGCCTAGAACTCAAGCCCAAGGTCACCAAATTAGAAATTTACATGGTCAGAAACTGGCCTTCCTTTCCCCCATCTACACAGGATTCTAGTCATTCCTCCAAACACTCTTATGTTAATACAGTTCACTCCAAGTGTATTATTTTTTCTTCTTCCTGCCTTCTCCTTTATTTCCAGATCCTTCCAATGGCCTTTAGGTAATTCTGCCCCAGGGAACCACAGCAACTATCCAGCTGGCAGAAAGAGAGATCTACAGCTTGAACAAGATTTCAGACCATCATAGTTAGTTCCCCTCTGTTACTCATGTTATGGCAACAGCATACTTTTCCACAGCTGATGAGAATGCTGCACAGGAAAAGAAAGCAAAAAATAAAGGCTAGAAGGTCTCTCTGTTTCTGTTCATTCTCCCGAGCACAATTCTCCCAGGAGACAGGTCAATAGCTAGAAAAGAAATAAGGTAGCAAAAAAAAAAAAAAAAAAAAGAAATCACATTAGCTAGCATGGCAGAGGTAGAAAAGTCTCTTTAAATGTTTGCAAACTTCCTTTCCTAGTAAGAAAAGCATCTCAAGATAGTGGAGGAAAAAACTGGAATAATGATCAGGAAACTAACTTGGACATTAATTAGTTGTATGATACTAATAAGTAACTTAATTTCCCTGGGTCTCAGTTTCTCTCAGTTATAACATGAAAGCATTAGTTTCCTTCCAGCTAACCAGAGTGTTATAAAAGCAAAGCCAACTGTAGTAACCTTACCTTCCTTTGAGGCTAGAAGTAGCTTCTCAAAGGAAGAACCAAATATTACCTCCACTTCTCCACAGGCAGATAAAAATAAAATAAACTTCAAGAGCATTCTGCTTTTGGCTTGGAATTTTCTTAACAAAACATTTCCTCTTCCTTCATAATGAGAAAAGGTGCTCTTCTAGCAATATGAGAAATCCAAAAGGTTACAGTAAGTGTTTTCACCTACTTCTAATTTCTCAAACCACAGGAGGAACGTCAAAGGCGGGCTGTATCCTCTGATACTCAATGAACAAAAGACTCTAAAGGGGGTCGAGGAATCCTAAGGTCACTATGTTGTGAATGTCCCTGCCCAGTTTAATCATCTAGGGCCTTCAGTACATCAACTGTTATCCTGGAATGCTTTGACATGCACGTGACACTCCAGAAGGTTTCCAGAAGTTTAAAGCAGGAAATGCAAATCCTCTCCCTTCCCACTAAATGGAGATTTCCAATACAAACCTCCCAACTCCCACTTTTCTAAATGTTTTCAAGTCTTATGTTAGCATTTGACTCTAGACTATTCCACAACAAAATTCTTATTTGTCTTCCCAGTCTCCTAAATCAAAATTTTAGACTTTCCAGAGCAAGGACTGTGTTTTTTCTTTTGTCTATTGCCCCCTTTTGTACAAAGAACTGCACTGGGCCCACAACATTCACTGAAGATGCCTAACCACATTAATACAGGTATCTGGAGATGACCAAATAACAAATGATCTCACCCTGGTTGAAGAAAATAAAATTACATGGTGAGAGGGAGATAAATAGAGCATTAGCGATATACAAGCCATCAGAGGGCAGAAAATATCCAAAGGGAAAAATTAAATCAATCAGTGCTGAACACCTAAAAAATACTGAGTTAACTTCTATAAAATAGCGATTAAATCCAATTACAACAGTACTATATCCTTTTAAACATATTTAGCAAGCCCTCGTTAAAAATCCAAAGATTACAATGGGCTCTACCAATAAACACAGGCTCAATATTACAGATGAGCCAAGGTGACAAATATTTAAATCTGAAACAAAAAACTGTGTGCAAAAACTTCTTGAGTAGGGTTAAGTGATATTTGAGAAGTAGTAGTGATTGTGTTGGGATGAGGAGTAAATGAATCAATATTTCTGGCAGAATCTTCCCAAGTACTTTAGGAACTAATCTAGACTATAAGACAGTCTTCTGTCTTTGAAGCAATGCTTAAAGACTATATCCTCATTTTTTAAAGCATGGTAGTAGCTTGGCTGTTTGAAATATGCCAAATGCCTGTCTCTGTCGCTGTTCCTCGGGCAAAGAATAATTAATATACAGCAGAAGTTTTAGTTCCTTCCCCAAATAAATTATAGCAGAATGCACTGTTACTGTGACATGTGCTCTGAACTGCTGGAAGCACAGACATTTACAATCCAATATCACAAAGAATTCTGGAAGAAGTCATAAATCCCTTTCCATCACCTTAGAAAACTTAAAAGCTATCAGCTCACGTTCAAGACAACTCTATCTAGAGCAGACTCTGGTGTGCCAAACTCTGTCATGATTGAAAAGCGAAAGCTCAGCAAGCTCAAGCACAGGTGCTGGTCTCCAACAGATGAGATTAGAAAAGAGGTTTCTTCAGTGTGCCACCTAAGAACTCCACTGTTCCGCAAAGGTAACATTCCCTTAAACCCAGCTCTGGTGAACTTACTGGTGAACTTCTCCTGCCTGGGTCATTTAAGTCTTCCAAGGCAGCCTCACCTCCCCTGGAGTGGCCTGGCTGAATTCCTCTGTAAAGCTGCCTCCCAGATTTTTATCCCTTGGTGTTGGCAGGGTCTCCTTACTCCTTACTCTATTGTGCAACCGAAATAAGGTTGTCCCAGGTCTAACTGCATCGGATTGGTTGTAGTACAGCCCCTGAGACCTGCACACAGGAACAGGCTAGCAATCCTGCAGACGGCAGGGATCGCTACCCTCGACGTCCCCACCCTCTAGGAGAGGCCACCCGATCTCCAAAAGCAGGCAGAGTTCCTTTCAATGAGGCCCCTCAAGATCGCTTTCCAGTGTCCTCCCTCTGGAGAACAGCCCAGTTGCCCACAGGCAACCTTTGAGCTCCTTTTTCTCGTGACCAATTCAACAAGCTTCACCTCTACCCCAGAGCTACTTACTTGTAAACAGTTCCTGGTTGCACTCCGAAAAGCAATGTCCAGAAACCTCTCTCTGCACCTCCTCTCTCTACAAGCCCCTTCCCACCCAGCGAGGGTGTCCCTCCTTGACAATGCCCCTTCAAACCAGCTCCAAAGGCGTCGCCGCCGAAAAACACCCCACCGTAAGGCTGTCAGCGCTCTGCCACCCCGCCTACTTTCCCTTGGCTATCACTTGAGCACAATTTTCTCACTCTCGTCTCCCAGCCTGGGGACTCCCCCCCACCCGTGGGGCCTCGTCCAGCAAAGTAAACAATGCTGTCAAAGCAGGATAACGCTGGGCGAGGCTTCCAGACTCCGCATTCCAGCCTCCTCCCGGTGTTCTAAAAGCAGCAAAACAAGCCACCGCAGGGTCCCAGGGCCGGATTCCTCTCTCCAGCTTCCTTTCTAAAAAGGCCCGGGAGCCAGATCCCAAAGCAAGCACGAATAGGCACAGCAGGCGAGAGGTGGAGGTAACGTCGAGCGCAATGCAAGGCCAAATGCGGCCAATCCCGCCCAAGAAGGAGGCAGAGAGGGAGAGAAAAAACTGGGTCGAGTGCGTAAACCCGCCACGAAGCGGAGACAAGGGCTTTCTTCTGCGACAGGAGCGCCACGTTCCCGAGTGGGGCGCGCGCAGACCCGAGCTGCAGGCAGGAGGGAGCGCGGAGCCAAGGGTCCCGAAAGCGCGAGCGCGACACGGGACAGAGTCCCGGGGCTGCGGCGGAGCAGGGGGTGGCAGCGAGGCGGCCCTCGCGGGGACACGCGGAGAAGAGTTGCAGAGGCTCGGGGCGGGAGGCCGGGCCGCGGCGGAGGCTGGCGGGCGCTCACCTCCTGGCGTGGTGGAGAAGAGCGTCCCCCCGGGCGTGGTGCAATAGTCATGAGGTAGCTGCGCGGCGTCGCTGATGGGCACGGTGCGGGTGGGAATGGCGCGGCTCTGGCTGGGCTGGTGGCCGCTTCCGGCAGACGAGGACATGGCTCTAGGCGCGGGCTCTCGGCTTTGTCCGGCGGGCAGGCGG